AGTATAAAATTTTATATAGTAAACGCCACGAATGTTTGGGAGTGATTCATCGGTCGCTACCATGTGAACTAATCTGTTCAAGGTCACATAAAACTTAATTCCGATGCCATGGTGTTTTAAGTCATATAATAATCAATATATAATCTGTTGTAATTTGTTGTTTTAACTGTCAAAGTCTTGTCAAAACATACATTTGGTTATAAATATAAACTGGAATGCCCCATTGTTCGCACTGCAAGCACACCAATGGACTGACGCACAAAAATGAATCAATCAAAGAAACGCGATATAGTATCGTCTTTGTCAATCACGCTAACATTTTAGAATAAGTAGAAGGAGCGCAGGCAGATGATTAGACCGGGCCTTTAAAAACCTACGTCTGCGGTAAAAAATTACGTTTTTAATGTAAAAATGATAGCGCGCGTGTCGATTCTAACTTCATCAAGCGATTAATCACTCCCAAACATTCGTGGCGTTTACTTTACAAGGGTTTATTTAGTGACATCATAACGAAATATATCTTCCTCAATTATCCTTCAAAGAATAAAAAATAACCTATAAAGAGAGTATTAGTGCTCTTAATAAATAAAAAAAAGATGAAAAATAAAAAACATCTATGCTCACTCTATAAATATCTCTCTATAAAGAAGTAAAAAATCATTTAAATCAATGCATGAAGGATACGAGATGTAACGCGAACGTAGTCGCGAGAAAAAGCTAGTAATTTATTAAATTATTTTATTTAACTCATTAATTTTCATTGAAAAGGAATTTTTGTAATTCGCCACTATATTAGTTAAAAACTAAGAAACTCATATCAAATTTAAGTTTTGCGATTTTGACTTATACTTTTTACAAAATCTGAACACATTTTAAAAGAAAAAAGTTTTTTGATAGTATTTGTGTAGATTGACTACCAGTTGTATAACATAAATTTCTACGACCGGTCTACCTAGTGGTCTGCAGCATCGCCTTGTGGTGCAAACGTGGGCCTGTTAATCTGTGACGTGACGCACAACAGCCAAGAAAAACAGAAGCGTGGCTAAGAATTTAGTAATTTAAAAAAGTCTTTTAGATACAGTAGTAGGTATTAAAAAGTTTTGTGTTTAAATGGGGTTTGCCTTTAACAGTTAAAATTATATCGTAAAGTGTAACTTTCCGTAAGAATCCTTTATCTGTCATTGATCATGATCTGTCATCATGTTAACCTGATGTTTTGTATGTTATTTTGTTTTTTTCCAGGTTTTTTTTTGCTTGCTTGTTTTACGGATAGGTGCGATCGCATAATTATTATTGATAATGTTTTATTTAATGTTAACATTACTACTTTTCAGTGAATCTTTAAATCTGTTGTTTTTGGTAAAATTCGTTATTTAAACATATGTATATAATACACTCATATTAACACTAATCATATTTTTGCTTTTTTATTCATCATTTTCAATGCCCCCCCGGTTGCATCTTTGTAAAGGACTGTGAATTTTTTATTTCCGTTTGTTATAAAATTGCTCAAATCTTTGTTATTTTAAATTCAACCCTATGTATATTATTTAAGAAATCAAAAGACTAATAAAATTGCTTTTAACGATATATTATGTTCCTATATCTAAATCTTCCGGTTTCTTAAGTAAAGCTATTTAAAAATTAATAATTCTGTTATTATAGTTTCATTTCAAGAATTTATTACCGTGAGAATTTTGGAAATTTAGCACGTAAACTCTAATTTATACTTATAAGTTTGAATATTTGTCATGGTAACGATTTTCTTTAAACGAAACAATTATAATAGAAGGATTATGTTTTAAATGGCTTTACTGAAGAAATCAGAAGTTTTAGATATAGGAACATTAGCAAGGCATAGATATAGGAACATTATGAAGCAATTTTATTTGGATTTTTTAAATAATATACATCTCTCGGTTCTCTATAAATGTCTGACGTGCTATGGCCGTGAATCACCCTGTATTTTATTATTGTTAATATAGGTATATAATATGGCATAGATCATAGATGTCTACTGATTTAATTGTTAATATTGTTCAAAACATATTTGCTTTTTTTATTGAATGTAATACCACAAGATGTTTCGGGATTACCGAATAATTATAATAGTATTAGTAAAAAAGTTCGTATAAAGGTAGATCCTAAAATGCTTAGTTTCTGAGATACAGGGTGTAAAAGTTTCATTTTTATTTCGAATTTTTCCAAATAATTTCTGAAGTGACATCAATATTTGGATGAAAATTGGTGTCTGGGGCTTTTTTGACATGAAAAATTTGATTTTGATGTCAATATGACTCCCACTTGTAGAGGGCGCCACCTACTATTTTTTAACTGGTTTGAGGAGTAATAACTTTTCCTGTATAAAATTAATGAGTAAAGAAATATAAATTTATGGCATTTTCTACGTAAAAAAGGTCTCTTGGTAAAAATCGCTACAAGGAATGGTTCTCGAGATATTTGGAATCGAAATTATCAAGACCTATCATCATTGACATGGTGACTAACAGTTATTAAACTGAAATCATAAATTTGAAATGTTTTTGTGCCATAAGTTCAACAGAAACTGTTTTATCATATCTATGAAAAAATTATGATTAATTTAAAAAAATAAAAATTTTCCAAATTTATTATTTCAGTTAAATAACTATCTATAACTCAACGTGTTTATTTTTTTGTCAATAATGACATGTATTAAGTATTTCCATTCTAAATATTTTGAGAACCGTTGTTCGTAGCGATTTTTACCGTAAAACCATTATACATTTACCATTTTTACGTAAAAAATCACGGAAATGTATTTTTTTTCACTCAGTAGTTTTATACAGGTACGGACGAAAAGTTATTACTCTTCAAACCAGTTAAAAAATATGTAGGTGGCGCCCTCTACTAGTAAGAGTTATATTGACATCAAAACCAATTTTTTCATGTCAAAAAACTCCCAGATACCAATTTTCATCCAAATATTAACATTATTTCAGAAATTATTTGGAAAAAATCGAAATAAAAATGAAACTTCTACACCCTGTATCTCCGAAACTAAGCATTTTAGGACATACATTTATACGAACTTTTTTACTTATTTTTATCTGCAGAATATGCTGGCGAAGTTTCCGGAATACAGTTCGGATCACCCTGTATAGACGATGTTTGAGAGCAATGTTTTTAAGAGTTCAAGATATCTATTTACGTGTATTACTTTCCAATACCCCTATTTTTACCCTGCAGTCAAGCACTGCAGATTATATTAAATGTTTTAATCTCTTTTTAATCCGAACCTGGTTAAATACCTCTGGGTTATGTAATTCACCCCACAAACAAGGGGGTGAAAATTTTAATTGACGGCAATCAATATTAATATAGCCATTATAGTAGCAAGACCCCTTTCACGATTAAATCAAACAACACAATATTATACAGGGCGGTTAAATTTCTATTTTATATATACAGGCTGTTTATGTATATATTGTTTGACATATTAATTATATTGCTTTTTACCTTTAGAATAGTTTGGGTTGGTGAAAGTAACTGTAATAAAAAACATTGTAGATTGTACGTAGGATTTATAATAATAATTAATAAATGCTCTTATTGCGTATATACCGGGTGCGTCTCAAAAGTGGCTCACCCCTATAACTTTTTTATTTTTGCAGTTAAAAAAACGAGATTTGGTATGTTAATATATGACATAAATTAGGATTTATTGACGTATTCAATTTTTTTCGGTCACTTCCTGTTTCATCGGAAATGACTACAACTTTTGATTTTTAAATGGCTCCCTCGGTATTTTTTTTAATTTATTCGATAGAAAATAACACTCTGAACTTTTGACATTTTCGAATATGGTTTATTTGAAATTATAACTTGCGGTTCCTAACGAAAATTTGACTCGAAATACCAAGTGTGTGGTACCAAATTATTGGTAAAAAAATACTTTTTCCAAATATGCTAATGAGCCACCCTCGTTCCATTTGAAAAAATTGAGATATGATAAAAACATTAGACAATCAAATCTATTTTTCCAAGGCTCCTTAATTAAGAATTATGTTTTTAACATAACCATGGAACCCTAGATTGAATTTAAAATTCAATTTTGTTTTAAGCGAGAATGTCAAAAGTTGACATATGATATGTCATTCTATTCAGAATGTCATTTTCTATCGAATAAAGTAAAAAAATACCCTGGGTGCCATTTAAAAATCCAAAGTTGTACTCATTTCCGGTGAAACAAGAAGTGACCAAAAACAATTGAATACGTCAATCAATCCTAATTTATGTCGTATAATATAAATATAAATATATAAATCTCGTATTTTTACCTGAAAAAAATAAAAAAGTTATAGGGGTGAGCCACTTTTGAGATGCACCCGGTATAAAGATTTTTTTTTGTAAATAGAACTACTTGTTTAATTGGGTTTAGGGATTTTATTATATTAAAATTAGGGCAGTAATTTTAAACTAATACGACCCTGATGATCTATTGAACCCTATGATTAGATCAGACAAAATATATGATAAGATTTCATATATCCACTTGGTAAAAATGTCTCTATCATAGTAAGAAACAAATTACAGGCAAAGATGAACTAAAAAAAATTGTATGGGACAATAAAGCTTAGTAATAAGATTTTTTACTCTAAAAATAGAACTCCAAAGATTCTACCATACGATCGAAAATAAACGGCGACAAAAACGGCTGGAAAATACTGTACTCGTACTATAGAACACCAGCCTCGATCCTTTTTTAATCGAAGCTTCAATGTTATTTACCCTAAGATAAGTCAAATCTAGTAGGCTCGCTGATTTTCATGTAAATGATCAGATAGTCGACAGGCTGGTTATAAATGGGCTGTGGTCAAATGAAATTTTATTAAAAATTTTCTGTACGAAATACACTTACGAGTAAAATTAAAACAAAATCATTTATTTTTCATAACATTTGTTTCATATGATTATCTATATTTTTATAGAATTGATGAAAATATGGGCCCTATAAATAATTATTTAATGTAAGACGTTTTTATTTCTTTTATATAGTTTATGATTATAAAGAAGGAACATGCATCTACAAAAAGAAATCCTTTATCTTCCTTAGCAAGGTCTTCGTCACACAGGTATCTGGTTTTGGATCTATTATATTATCACAAATTAATCTTTTAAAATCAGACGTTGCCAAATTTTGAACCTGATGATCTATTGCTATGTCGTTATTCAAAACTATAGTGGGAACTTCGTATAAGTTAGGTTCTAAACTCCAGGTCTTGTTGCCGTTTAGTACTTGCAATGTATCACCTTCACGAGAAGTGGCACACTGGCGCATTTTCTCATAATCCAAGTTGGTCTGATTGGCACACTAAAATAAAACCAAAACCATATAAAAATATGTCATTATATATTTTTTCCGCATTTCTTCCCATCAAGAAGGTTTTCAGATACAGAAGAATTGTTACTTACACGAAATGTGAAAATATACTGTTTTCGAGCAAGTTTTTACTCGATGATAATTTTTTTTTATTTTATTTTATTGTGAACTCATATTTTCCTAAATACATCTCTGTGAAACTATGGCGAGTGCCACGACTATACTATATATACTACGTCAGTGGTCACGGGACGCGAGAACAAGGTCATATAAAGTGGCAGAAAAAGAATAAAGGATTTGACATAAAGCTACTAGTTTCTTTATACTATGGTTAAGCTGCCAATGTTACCGTTAACAAATATTAATATATACATAGCAAAACTCAAAGTGAAGTGTTATTTTTACGCTTATTGATGACTTATAATCATATTATACAGGGTCCGGCAATAGTGCGTCGGGCATCTGTAGCTCCTAGAATAAAAAACTAGAGAATTTTGTTTAACTGCAGACCTAATGTATGAGGATGTATTTCAGAAAAATATTTTAACTTCTATAGGGTGACGCAAAAAAGTGTGAGTGGATCGGGATGATTTTTTTTAATGGAACATCCCGTGTATTATTGTATTTTTGGCTTCCTTTCAGATCATTTTACGTAATCCTAAGATATGAGTAAATATATTTCGATAATTTCAGAGATATTGATAAATAAATAAAAAATATATATTTTTCAACCTTCTTAAAAAAGTTATTACAAATACAAGAACTGTCCTAAAATTAAAACTATATTAGGTATTTACTTTAGATGGTCTGTACTTACTTTGTTATAAATATCGTGATCTTAAATCATACAGGGTATTCAAAATTCTACGCTAAACTTTCTAAAATATAAAATATTTTTTCTTTGTTTTTTTGAATAAATTTAAAACACCCTGTATATTATTTTTTTATTAGATGGAGTGTTAAAAAATTAACATTTTTTGTATTTAAAATATTTCAAAATGTTTAATGGTTTTTCAGATACACGCAGTATTATTTCATATGGTTCCTTCAACGGTAAAATACCAGAGAAAATTTGGGTGGCTTTGATAAAAATTTACTGTGCAAAATGAAATATTAAACCACGAATATCTGCCAAACCGTCAATATTTTGAAATACTCTGAATACAAAAAATGTTCGTTTTTTAATTCTCCATCTATTAAAAATAATATACAGGGTGATCCATTTGAAAAAAAAACAAAGAAAAATTATTTTATATTTTGGAAAGTTTGGCGTATAATTTTGAACATCCTGTATGATTTAAGATTACGATATTTATAACAAAGTAAGTATAGACCATCTAAAGTAAATACCTAATATAGTTTTGATTTCAGGACAGTTCTTGTATTTTTAATAATTTTTTTAAAAAAGTTTGAAAAATATATTTTTTTTATTTATATATCTCTGAAACTATCGAAATATATTTACTCATATCTTAGGATTATCTAAAGTGATCTGAAAAGAAGCCAAAAATGCAATAATATACAGGGTGTTCCATTTAAAAAAAAATCATCCCGATCCACTCACACTTTTTTGAGCGAGCCTTTAGAAGTTAAATAATTATTTTCCTGAAATACATCCTACTACATACTTTAGGTTTGCACTTAAACAAAATTTCCAATTTGATTTTATTCTGAGAGCTACACAGATGCCCGACGCACTATTGCCGAACCATGTATAGTGTATCGAACGAAAGAATACAGTGATGGAATTGTTTATCACTATCATAAAAATTATTTTTCATATCAGTTTTTGGACATAGTCTGTTAAAATTGTTCCTATATCTCGCGTTTGATAGACTTCAGTTAGGGTAAAAATTTTAGTTAGGACCACAGCTTATTCAGAATCAGTTGGCCTTTGCGTCTTTGCTTGTAATTGAGTATGAGGGTGTCATCTACTGCACCTATTTTCATATACCTGTCAATAGTCAGACGATCAGCCTCGATCTTCTTTTTGAAAACGAAGCATCAATAGAGCTAAGAAAGCAAAAGAATATTTAAGTAAGTACGGAAATTTTTGTGCAAATTATTGTAAAATGTAGAATGGAGAATGTTTAGGAGAGGGGTTAATCACTGCGACCTTCCAGATTTATTGAGCGTTCCCCTTTTTTAAGTTGTAACGAATTATAACAGTCTAAGGCTTTGACATTTTACAGTCTCAAGTTAGTTGTGGTCTAGTTAGTGGAATGTTTGCTCCTTTTCTAGCTAGATCGTTTGCTGTGTCATTGCCTTCTTCTTCATCCCTGGGTGCCGACACATGAACGCATTAAACAAGTTGCAACAGAGACACCTTAGACAACTCTTTAAAATCAAATGATTCCAGCATGTCTCAAAACGTATCGGTCCTTGAGAAAGCTAACTGCGAGAGCACTGAAGTCATGATTACAAAATCCCGCTTAAGATGGGCTGGTCACGTATGCAGAATGCAAGAAAACGGCCTACCAAAATCTCTGCTTTACGGTGAGCTTGTAGATGGTAAGAGAAAACCGGTATCAAAAGGTACAAAGTTATTTTCCATGAAAACTTGAAGGGGATAAACATGCAGAATGAGTGGGAAGAAGCAGCGCACAATAGAACAGAATGGAGAGGAATTGTAAACTCGGTTAACAGCGACAACCAAAAAGTAAAGAGTAAGCAAAAAGTATAGGGCTTTTCAGTCACAGAAAAGCTCATGAAAGAAAATGCCTTGCGCAACCATCTTCTTGATGCGTGTCAAATACTCGTCAGCGAGTAATGGCAGTATGTATGTATGTATCCCTTGGTGAGCGGGCACCCAGAGTAAGAGGACTTTATTTACTTTGCCTAATTCGTTTAGCTTCTCTAGGCATTCTTTGACCAGCTTCGAATGGATGGTTACTGAGTTAGTCGCTTTTAGTGCTGCTTGACTATCGGATAAGATGGCTATTTCCTGTTTTCAATGATTGTAAGTCGGGAAGCTGTTTATGAATAAGCTGTAGTTAAAAAGAAAATTAAAACAACAAAAAATACAGTTCACGTAATTTTCTCCACTGTCAAATTTGCCGTGATGGAAGTATTACTCTAACCTTTTGTATAGAATGAGGATTGGAAGGATTTCTGGCTGACATGACACAATTAACAAATTCAACTTTGGTATCTTGACTATCTGTTTGATTTAATCCACACGCTTGGAAAGTATTTCCTTTGCATTCCATCCTACCATGTTGACAATTGAAAATATATCTTTCTATTTGCTCGTTATATCCATGCTAAAAAATTATTAATATTTAATATTTATAAGGTCTTTATATTTTATAATATCAAATAATTCAAATCTGAAAATCATGACTAATATTTAATGAAGCAGAAGAGAGCAGAGAAAGTAATTTTATTAGATATTTAGTTAATACCTTTTTTCTTCAATTGCTTTCAATTGTTTAAAATTTTTAATTATCTTTAAATTTAATTTTAGTTCTTTTAATGTCTTTCTTTTAGCGTCTACATTATCATCTATCATTTTTTGTTTACTTAATTTTGTAGTTGCAGCTGAAGACATTTTTTAGGTTCATATAATATATGCTAAGTAAATAAGCTTTTTAGTGGTTTTGTAACATTTTAACGATTACTGCCTAACAAATCAGAAAAGATTTAGACAAAGACGTCTAAAAAATAAAAAAATAATTTACCTGAGAATTAAAATGACCATAACGAGTTTCACTATCGCCCTACTATACCTACCTATATTATATTCTTTAATAATGTATATTGTAGATATTTTGTTTTTAATTTATATTCAATTTTAAATAAATAATTTAAATAAGTCAATCTTACCATGGCTTTGCCATATGGGACAAAATTGATGTTCAAATGATCTTTTAAATCTTGATAGCTGGGATAAAGTTGTCTAGTGATAAAATCGACACTGTCCGAACACAAAGCTTCATAGTATATTGCAACATCTAAAGCTACCTAAAATAAAAATATAAATCAAACAACATTGCTATTTGCAAAATTAGAAGGAACATCTTTAGCGGGAAGGGGTCACGCCGAATCTCACTAAATCTCAGGTAGGGAGAAGGGGGTTGGCGCAAATATCACGTATTTTTTTCCGGCAAAAAATAGTGTAAAACTGTAAGAAAATCAGATTAATTTAAAGTAATTTCAATTCCTTATTAGTTGAAAAATTATGGCTTACAATTTAACTTTCACAAGACGTACTACAGAACTGTGCGCAAGTAACAACGTAACAACGTTTTGGAGGGGTTAAACCAGGACGAAGGTGAAGGACCAGATGATTTTACTGAAAACCACGTAGATTTGTTAGTATCAACAGTCACTTTTGAGACAGTGCACTAGTCTTAATCGACTGAAATAAAATGAATGTTCCCTATTAATTTTAGTAGTTCCCGCTTAAGCATTGTTAAGTGATATGTATGGTTTTAGATTACGATCTGTGGTTTTAAATTACGATCTAAACTATCTCTGATACTAGTCTTTATTAATCTTAATAAAAATAATAAATTAAATTGTATTTTTTAAAGAAATCCAAGGGATTTATACTCAAAATATAAATTTTGAAAGATCTTACGGTGGATTAGGGGAAGTGGAGGGGGTCGAGACAATATCTCAAGACATCTCACCAGTGACAGAGGGGATTTAATTTTTTTTAATATGATTAGACACATGGGACTGTAATGTTTTATACCAAACAATAACATGTAATGTTAAATTCTATGTAACCTACATTCTACAGGGTAATCCGAACTGTATTCCGGAAACTTCGCCAGCATATTCTGCAGATAAAAATAAGTAAAAAAGTTCCTATAAATGTATGTCCTAAAATGCTTAGTTTCGGAGATACAGGGTGTAGATTCCATTTTTATTTCGATTTTATCCAAATAATTCATAAAGTAACGTAAATATTTGGATGAAAATTGGTGTTTGGGAGTTTTTTGACATGATAAATTTGATTTTGATGCCAATATGAGAGAGACTTGTAGAGGGCGCTACCTAGATATTTTAAACTGGTTTGAAAAGTAACAACTTTTAGTCCGTACCTGTATAAAACTACTGAGTAAAGAAATATACATTTACGACATTTTTTACGTAAAAAAATAAAAATTTCCCTAATTAATTATTTCAGTCAAGTAACTCTGTACTCAACGTGTTTATTTTTTGTCAATAATGACATGTATTGACTATTTCCAGTCTAAATATCTTGAGAACGGTTACTCGTAGCGATTTTTACCAAGAGACATTTTTTACGTAAAAAGTCACGGAAATTATAAAGGGTGAGTTTCCTACGATGTTCTCTATGCGGGTATCTCAGAAACTACTGGAGATAGAGAGTCGGTTAAATGGGGAAAGAATTGCAGTTTTGTGGGGTCATAAATATGCGCCTTTCAGATTTTTGAAAAAGTTCATGGCTTACTAGATATTTCGAAAAAAACAAATTTCGGCTAATTAAAAATTGTCTCTAACTCCATTATAAGCTGTTTTAGACAAAAAGTTTTCAGAATAAAGTTGTAGATAATCACATCCTTAATGAGACTGTGCCCTCCGTTTTCTTCTAAAGCCTGTCATTTTTGACATATGACACAAACATATGTTTTTTTTTAAATGGAAACCATAGTTGGCCATGACTTCATAAATAGCGCCGTTTTTTAAGCTTTTCAGTGATATAAGCTAAAATATGTTTTCTTCGAAAAATTACTTTTTAGTTAGTTAGCCAAGCATGAGTTATAGCCAATTCTTATAATTTTTAAACAATTTCACTTAGTTAGCCATGGAAACAAGTTTATTCGTCTTTGCTCTCGGAAATGTGAAGCTGTCACAACCAAACTTTGTAAATTAAAATAAGCAAAAATTGTAAATATGAAATTTTCAAATGAAGAAAAGCGTGTAGGATTATTGGTTTAACTTTTCTTGACCATACATTTTCGAGGACACGTTAACCGGTTAATGTTACGTTTTTTAGAGAACGGTTTTCAAGACATGTTAGAAAAGTTACATTTAGTTATAGCCAATTCTGATCTTTCTTGGTTAATTTCAATTGGATTGCATGGTATTCTTATTCTATTGTTACGTTTTTCGTCGGTTCCGTGTGGATAGAAAGTCACAATTTATTTTTTTACTTATTTTTATCTGCAGAATATGCTGACGAAGACCACCCTGTATGCATTTATCTAAACAAATATATAAAAAAAACTTTTGCACAAATCAAAAGGGATAAGATATTTTTTTCATGATGGTATAGCCTAATATGCGCCGATTTGCAAATACAACTGTCTTAATGCTTATAATTTAATATTTTTGATTACACTGTCCACATAATTAAACTCGAGTTTTAGAATATTCGAGAACTAAACTCGAATTTTAGAATATTACCAAGATGTTTCTCAAGTAATCAGTAAATTTTATAGTGATAAAGTAAACTCAACCCCAGTCAAACAATCAATTTTCTTTTGTCTTTTGAAATTGTATTTTCTTTGTGCGTATATGTTTCTTTGTATTCTTGAAATATTAGTATCAATATCAATAACAGAAATTACATACAAAAGAAAAAATATAGTGATGACCTTTATTATATTAGATATTTACAATATTGAGAATATGAAATAATGTCAACAACCAGCAAATAATCAATTTCTCGTATGTACTGCATAAAACAATATCACTAAGTAATGTTCTGTTATAAATAGACCCTCTCAATTTTATAAAATTTGTTGAACAATCTATTTCGTCAAAAGAACATCTTTAAACAAAAACAATAATGTTATACCTAACATACAATACCTATTACTGTAATTTAAGCATGCTTTGGAGAAACTTGCTTTACCTTTAAAAACATATTTTTTGATATTGCTTATATATTTGCGTATAAACCAAATCAAACCAAACCAAACACGATTTTAGCGGTAGAATAGTACAATATGATCGAAAAAAAAACGGCGTCAGCGATAGTGATGGACATTACGATTCTTTTTAGTGAATCGAATCACACAATTCAATTTCTCATATTGAATCGACTCCTACCACTCATATTAGTTCATTTGAACGAACCACATCCACAATTTACGTTTCATAAAAACAAGAATCGTAACTGGCAGTACCGGCTATAATTTGGCCGGACAATTACTTAAGGCACTAGAAAAAGAAATATTACAGTTCTTTCATTTGTTTTTCAACGCTTTATTACACTAGCGTAATTGAAATGATTATTTTACAAATAATATTAAATTATCAATCGAATTCATATTATATACTATTTATTAAAGACTTCTTAATACCAATTAAATGTTTTTAGATCCATATTTTAATTCTGATTTAATATAAATAATAAATCATATAATAAATAGTATATAATACCGCATGATCCAGAAAAAAATGGCATCCAGTTGGCTTGGAAATGAACATCGATGACATTACCCATATAATTTTACATATAAAATGACAGCGATTTTCATTTTATTACCATCGCTGACGCCGTTTAATCCCGTTTATACTGTTCCAAATTTCCCAAAATTATTTCCCGTTTCTATAGTAATATCATTTCGTTTTCATTCTTTGATAGATGGTAAGTATTAATTTTTATTAACGTCATTGCTATTTTTTGCTATTTTAGTTAAAGAAGCACAACATCTATAATCACCTCTTCCATAGCATTTACCCAAAAACTTTTGTGCTTCTTTAATATATTAAAACACCCAAAAACATGACGTTGATCAAAATTAATGCCGCTGTTAATACTATCCATCATAACCAATATGACATACAGGCCAGAGACATCGATTTGTGACGTCACCACACTAGTCGGGCTTTTGTATTGTGCCATATGGTACTGCATATAGTTTTTGCATAAATAATAGTATTTATTGATAGTTTTGCCAAATTGTAATAGCCAATATGAAAAATATTATACAGAAAGGTATTAAAAAATAACATTAACTTTTTATCGCGTTAAAGTAATTGAATAGCATTAAAATTTAGATCTAAAGCACGAATATTAATATGAAATAAACTACAGCATAAGATGAATAAAATAAAATCTAGATAATAAAAAGCGTGTCCTAAAATTGCATTAGCGAGTATTTAGCAACTAGTAATAATATACCTGTGATAAAAAGTTTCCAAATATTAAAAAATTTGAAAACTATACGTTTATCGACAAGTTAAGAAAATGTATTGTATATGATAACGGCAGAATACATTTTAAAGTTTAATTAAAAATAATTGTAAAAATTTGCCTAACATATTTAAAAAATGTGGATATCAGATAGAATTAACTATTAACATTAAGTAATTTGTAGTTCGATGTTCATCAAGTAACCATCTCCATAAATCGTAAATAAAAAGATAAAGATATCATTTTTTTTATATAAAATACTGAAATAAAGTACAAATTCATTTAATTTCTTTAAAATATATTGCCATTTCATAATAATAATATATATTTCATAATAATAATAATACTTTTCAATATTTATTTCATCCTGAATTTCCAAATCTTGTTTTCTTTCATCGGAACGTTTTCTCTTTATGGGAACATGCACAGAGGGTCCATAAGAGGGTTGATTTGGAAAAATTGTAGGCACAGCATGTTCTGTAGGTTTTGGACGTGACCTAGTTACAGTTAATATTGTTGGGAAAGAGAATGTAGACAGATCCTGAGGACTTATTATAATTGCTGCTACAAGGCACAGGCACAGAACAATGTCGCGGAATTTTTTATTTCACAAAGTAAAAATAAAGAAACGAAAACTGGTTTTACATAAAAATACACGTCATTTACGTTGGTTTAACACTATACACTAACACTAACGCTATTAATTATGTTTTTATATAAATTCACCAACTTTTTCCTAGCCCGGACACACAGCCGGCATCGCCGGTGTTACTACAATTTTTACCGAAAGTATGGTTTTTTTCGCGGGTACGATGTTATGAATCGGATCTAGATAGTTCACTATTCACTCAAAATTATTTAGTATAATTTTATTAGCATAGAAACGCGTAAAAACACAGATTTGTTGCGAAACTAATGAAAACAATTGGTTTGTTTACGACTACTAATTCTGGACCACTTCGGTAGAACTGTCAAAACAGTCAGGCCTTGAATATGACGTTAGCCACGTATCCATCTATCAAAGAATGAAAACCTAAAAATGATATTACCATAGAAACGCGTTATGAATTTTGAGACGAAAATTCAAATATAATATTCATATATTTTTTAATTTTTCTCTAAGACAGTAAGGAAATTTGGAAAACTATAAACGGGGTTAACTATTTTAGAACAAGCAAAAATGTTTATGAAGAATGTATTTTTCTCACAAAGTTAATAATAAAAAAGTGTTTCATCTTCTAAACACAATTCAGAGACATCAGCGTGGGTTAAGGGCGCCCGGGGCGGAGAGCCTCTAGGAAAGAGGTTTGCCGCCCCTACAGAATCCGTCCGCCGCCTTTATAACAATTTTTTGCCGCCCCGCAGGTACTTGGACACCGCCTTGCTACGCCACTGAGAGACATACTGTTTACAGCGCGCATCACATACAGAACCGTATTCGAAGTGCATAGTGTAGTATAATTATTTTTAAAGTTCTTTTAAGAACACTTTTGCTTTGACTTTTATATAAGAACTCTTTAAAAATGATCTCCATACAGAAACACCTAGCTGTGTGACCAAGTTTCTCTTTATCTTAATATTTTAATATTAGAAAACCACATATGTTATTAAAAAATATATTTTTCCAATTTGTGTACATCTTTGTGGTGTATCAAATACCTACAGTATGATTTTTCTGAACCTCAACGTTTTGAACCACTGAATATAATATTTGCGTTATATTATTGGAATTCCGTATATATCTAACTTACCGTTAACTTGAATAATCCCATAAGGGCACAAATAAAATAAATACTCCACATATCAATATAATTAAAAATACACTATCACAAATATTTTTGGTAGTAGGGTTATTAATATTAACTATATAATACTTCGTACTATTGTTCTCTACCACATGTACCTATTCAACGAAGTTCTTAACGCGTTAATCTAAGTTATACAAAAGTCTCCAAAGAAAAGCACACTGTACACACATCATCGGGGATCAACGAGATAATTAGCGTAAATAGGGGACCGCAGTAATATTACGAACAAAATTTAAATATATTATGATTTATAGAAAGCCGTGGCGACATTTCAACAAGACGGAAAGGAGTCCACGCGGATTTATAATTAGATTATTGTTTGATAACACTGTTGAAAATACATTGATAATTTATTTATTTTTATATTTTTTATTTATTTTGTCATTGGTTTTAGATCATTACACAGACTTTTGAGACTTATTTTGGCTGCAATTATTTTTTAGCATTTTTTTACACATTTTAAACAACATAAACTACTTTTTTATCAAACAAAATTGCCATAACTTGCTTAGTTTTTATGATGCTCTGCAGGGTGGTATTGAAAATGTTGCGATTTCAGTTAGGTACACCTCGTATATCAGTTGTCTGACAATTTAAATAAAGGTACTCTTTGATCAAACGCAACATAATAATATGAAACTTTTTTTCGCGGAGTCCAATAGAATAATATATAATGAAATAGAGCTATTTTATATTAATATTTATATTTTTGAAATATTAAAAAATGTATTTTTAATGAAACACCCTGTGAATTTGGGACAAAATTACTTTTTTACGATTTCCTCAAAAATGTAAAGATCCATTTTAATAAAAAAAAAACAACGATAAAAATTAATGCAAATTTATATATTCAATACATTTCTATATTATAATGCATGTTATAATGACATGTAATAAAGCCACATTTAAAATGTTACTCTTATTGTTTAATTCTCTAATATTGTTCTATACCAGTGGTAGACTATGGAAGGGGGGCGGAAGGGGCGGTCCGCACCGGTCCCCGTCTTTTAGGGGGCCTCCGAATCTTAATAAGAAATTTTTTATTCAACTGGCAAACAAGGCCAATATGTGTTCAGTAGTTATAAAGCAGATTATAGGTGGAGTATGCAAACCATACGTATACGCCAACTATAAACAGTATAAATGGAAGCAGATATTTACTTAATTATCAATTATCAGGCCCCAATAATTGTCAATGGCATTTTCTATTTAGGAAATTAAATCAAGGAGTAATTTTCTTTGTTTAAAATATCGAATAATTATTATTTTTATATATTTTGAGACTGAATTTATTTATTTTAGGTTTTAAGTTATTTTTCAATGGTTTCATTATTTATTTTTACTGAATAAACATTATAAATTGCAACCAATGCACAGCATAACTTGTATTCTAGCTTCATTACTGATGATGAGCAGTGAAGTCTTTAGTATAACGGGGGCCACGGGCCTGAGACATCCAGGGGCCCCTCGGATCTTGGAGGACTTACAAAATTGCGATATTTTGTCGAGATATTTCCTTGGAAGCATTTTTAAGAAAAAAATATTTAAAATTTTTGGACGAAAGAAACTACCTGTCAAAAAAATTTGTACAGCCCAAAAGTCAAATTTAGTGATTATCACAGCCCCTGTGGCATAAAGAAGAGCCATGTGGCTATCTATTTCAAAAATTAAATTGTTCAAATGATATGTAATAATGGCGGTAACTGTCATGGAATTGGGCCATTAAAAATTATCATAAATATTTTTTTTTTCAAATGGAAACCCACTTTTTTTATTTCACTAGTGAAAAGGTTTTCCAATTCGTTACATTTTAACTAGACTATCTAAAATAAATCGTTTTTAAGTTATTTAAGATTTAGTTTGAAAACGATTTTTCTTAATTTTATCTAGCTTCCTTTGACATTAAGTGTTAAACAGTCAGACAATTTATTTACATCTGTCAGAAAATGAATTAATTATTTGAATTTGCTATATTACAACTACTGCTGCTGCCTTAAAAGTTTAAAAAGTTTATTTATATAAATATATCTCGTATTTTCGTTCTTTATTGATATATAATAGTTGATATTTTAATAAAATACCGTACGATCGAAAAAAAAACAGCGCCCAAAGTTAGCTTGGAAATGATGATCTATAATATACTGTCATAGGCTACTCGTTAAAATCAAGAAAAGTATAGGCTTTAAAGCTGAATCTTAAATAACTTAAAAACGATTTATTTTAGGTACAGGAACATGTATAGTCAAAACCTAACAAATTTTAAAAACGAAAGTAACAACCCATATAGCACGTCCAAATGAAATTACGTTTCTACAAGGGAGACACATGAGAAACAACATATGTTAAAGTGATCCTAAGTGTTCATCTAGTTCTAACATATACATATGAGATACACGCAGGTTTATATTGATAGAATTGTGTGATACAGTGTTTACTAGTTGTATACCGTATGCACTCAAGATTCTAAAGAGTTTTTTGTAACGTAATAAATAATTATTAAAATGATGAAATCTGACGTCGGTATATGAGACATACAATGTATATGTCATATGTATGTGTGATACTTCGTATCATAGTTGTGTTTATAGTACGCACCTTGTAAAAATGTGACGTATACACATAATATAAATATCTATATAGACACTTTGTAATAGTGTACTGTTGTGTTCTCCTTTCTCTTTTCTAGGAGTGGTATGTGTTTAGCAGCCATTATTGTTTTATCATTCGGAAGCTCTATATAAATGTTCTGTTTGTGTGTAGTTTAAAAGAGATTTTCAGGTAAGTACCAATTTTTAATTAGCTTGTTACACCTTCCTAAGAGTATTATTAATATTATAGCAGCGACTCTTCCCTTACTCGATACCCAATTTACCAAATTTTGACTCCAATGAATGAAAACTCCAAATATTCTCGTATAATGATAAAGAGGTTAGCTGAGTTAGCTCTGCAATATAATTTTTTTTTAATTTGGAAATAATGAAAATCTAAATGGACCAGAGAAAGAAAGATTTTAAACATTTCAAAGAACTTCTTACACTGATATTCGGTAAGTTATTGATGGATCGATATACAGATATGTTTAATATTCAATAATCAGTTTCATATCAAATTTAAGGGTGAGATTGTTAATCTGGAAATAAAATACAACAAAGTCCAACAGAGTGCTCGATGAATGAGTATGCTAATAAATCAACTGCTTGGAGGGAAAAGAGGAGAAAAAAATGACTAAACGAGGTCCTCCAAATAGTGGCAATATACCGGTGTTTACCATTTTAGTATGTTGTTATACTAGCTCCTTATATTTTTAATACATTTTGATACAAATTCTGTTCATTTACAGTGTTTTCTTACTTCTGGTTTCTGCGGTGTAAATAATTATTATTATTGTGTTATTTGCGCTATTGCGTTCCATGATATAAAGAAATATAAGAATTTTATTTTTTAACCACTGAATCCATTTTATGGAAGAAAAATGGTACATTTAATACAAAACAAAAATTGCTATTTCTCTTGAACTTACGATCGAGATACTTTTGGAAAATACAAAGTTTTGCATTCCTAATTTTCGTTCTAAAAAGATATAATTGGTATAATTGAATAAATATTTCTTAAAAAGAACGAAAAGTTAGGCATCAAAACTTGTATTATTTCCTAAATTCGTTCATAAGAAGTAGTTTTATCTAGCACAAGATGTATATACGAAGCAAAATTCATACGTATACACGCGGTAGTCACAACTGCAATGTGTAAACATAGTTTAAACGTAATACACAAGCACTGTGTATCCTACGGCACACTGTGTATCCCTTACTTTATGTATACGTAAATGCTATACTGTGGCTACATTGTGAGGCGGACGTTTAACCTTTGTGCATACGTGTTGAACTACAATGTGTAAACGTTGAATATTTACATCGGGAGAATTGTGTCACCCTGTGTCTACATCTAGTAATGTAAACACATCGTAAATGTGATTTGATGTGCTGTATGGGAAAAGTCTTTTCACGAGTGAAATAAAAATGTGGATTTCCATTTGAAAAAAAAATGATTTATGATAAATTTTTAATCGCTCAATTCTATCTTCTCTTTATGGTACAGTGACTGTGGTAATCACTAAATTTGAGGTTTAGGCTATTATACATATTTTTGAGAGGCAGTTTTTTTCCTCCAAAAATTATAAATATTTGTTTTTCTCTAAAACGGTTAACGTTAGGTATAGAGTGTTTAAATCAAAATTCATAAAATTTTACAGAGAATTTAAGTATGTAATAAAAAATGGGGTCACCCATTTAATATAAGAAAGTTGCTGTCAACTTCCGGTACCTACTTCCGAAAGTGCCGCCATATTGAAAATATTTTTAATCGATAGATCTCATTGTGAAACAATGATATGCACAAAATCTCGTATCTAGATATTGTAGTTCTCTAGAAACTTCTAACGCAGGCTCAGCCTGGGACACCCTGTATAAATACTTGAATTTTCAAGTCATTTACAATCAATTTACAGGATGCTCTCTCTCTCTCTCTCTCTCTCTCTCTCTCTCTCTCTCTCTCTCTCTTTCTCTCTCTCTCTCAAATGCAAAATTTTTAACTTTTTTATTATAGGAGCTACAGATGCCCGACGCACTATTGCCAGACCCTGTATATCTAGAGAGAAATCGTTTAGATAAAATTAAAAAAAAATATAAACATGGTTGATTTTTTTCCTATAAATCAAATCGCGTTTCAATGATAACGTAATTTTGTTTTCATTCTTTGATAGATTGTTATTGATAAAATTTTAATTAGCGTCAAATTTTTTGCTGTTTTAAAATGTTAAATAAGCACAAAATTTACTTAGTTCAATGCCACGGAAAAGAATTATATTTTTTAGGACTAGAATAAAAAATTCAACCATATGTTTTTAATTTTCTCGGTATGGAAATTTGGAAAAGTATAAACGGAGTTAAACCATTTTTTTACAAGCAAAAAGTTTTATGAAGAATGCATTTTTTTCAAATTAATAATAATAAAAAAAAGTTTGTCTTTTTATAAAGACAACTGGAGTACATACTGTATAATGGTTATTGACTAAATGAAAAATTATAAGAGTACCTGCTAAAATACCCCATTTAACATTTCTTAGCTCTTGAATAAAAACAATATAGTAGGGTATAGGGGTATAGGTACATAAATTTTAACTACTTTTGAAACAACTCAATCAACTTCTGTTACAGTATTGGGCATAAAAATAGCCCAATGTGCTCAATATATTCTTTACTGAATAAAAATTTATAATAAATAAGAAATTATAAACAAAATATTAAACATAAACAATACAAATAACAAATTTTATATATTCAAATTATACTTTACAACATAATCAAATATATTTCATCATCTGAACTACACTGTTGAGGTTTATTATCCAAATACTTGCAAATAACACTCTTCAGATCATTCCTTGACTGATTCTGATCATCTATATTAAAAATACCATTGAATGTCACGGATGGGATGAAGCTTGGGTTTAGATTTTGAGTTTTCTGTCGGTTTTCGGACATTATGTCTTCTGCTTGGCCGTTTGTCAAACATTCCTTTATTACAGACCAAGACAGACCAATATTCTTGGCACACTAAAACGGTAAAAAATACAAGAAAATAGAATCATAATAATCCCTAAAAATGACTGAAATGGAGAAATGCAATGTACCTATCAATTAAAATGAAAGACCACTAGTGTCACTTGTCATGTATTCTCTCGTTGTACTTTACATCATGTGTATATGAATACAAACACTATGCAGAGCTACATTTTTAAAGTGTTACAAAGCGTCTTTTTCTTTCCTATTACGATTTAAAATAGTTTAGTATAAAATTTATAATTTGATCTTAAGACAATGGAATCTTGGATATAAGCTTTTCTTCGGGAATTTAGAATTCCATTTAATCAAAGGTTGCAGGTTTGTAAGCAAGGTTTGTAATAAGATAAGTAAAAAAGTTAAAATATCTAATAAAAACCAACAGTTGGATTATATATAACATTAAAATATCATGTCACACCAAAAAGAAATTATATGCAAAAAAATGAATGGACAAATATCAGAAGAATATTATAAAAAATATTGTAAAATTATTTATATATTATGTACGGGGTCTCAAAAGTCGCTCACCCCTGTAACTTTTTTTATTTTTTCTTCTTTTCTTTCCTTTTTATTTTCCCTATAACTTTTTTATTTTTCAGATAAAAAAAACGAGATTTGATATGTTAGTATAATATACTAAAACTGGCTATTTATGTCATATTATGACATAAATTAGGATTGATTGACCTATTCAATAATTGTTTTCGGTCACTTCCTGTTTCACCAGAAATGACTACAACTTCTGATTTTTAAATAGCACCCTCGGTATTTTTTTTTTCTTTATTCGATAGAAAATGACACTCCGAATAGAATGACATATCATACGTCAACTTTTGACATTCTCGCTTAAAAAACGTATTTTAATTAGTAATAATTAATTAGCTCTGTTAAAAACGCTAGTTTTTAATCAAGGAGCCATGGAAGAATAGATTTGATCGTCTAATGTTTTTAGTGTCTTGTCCTGGCCGGTTAAAATATGCCCAAATCTTATTTTTAATCATATCTCAACTTTTTCCAATGGAACGAGATTAGCTCAGTAGCATATTTGGAAAAAGCATTTTTTTCTCAAAAAATTTGGTACCACACACTTGGCATTTCCACACACTCGACATGGTACCACACACTCGACAAATCAAATTGTCGTTATGAACCGCATGTTACAATTTCAAATAAACCATACGCTAAAATGTCAAAAGTTGAAATATGGTATGTCATTCTATTCAGAGTATCGTTTTCTATCGAATAAAGTATAAAAGTACCGAGCGTGCCATTTAAAAATCAAGTAATTTCCGGTGAAACAGGAAGTGACGGAAAACAATTGAATACGTCAATCAATCCTAATTTATGTCATATCATATATATACCGAATCTCGTTTTTATCAGAAAAAATAAAAAAGTCATAGGGGTGCTCCACTTTTGAGACACACCTGGTATAAGAGGTTATAGTTAAAGCAAAGAACATTGTAAATAAGAAATTCAAAATGGGCCTCTTGGAAATTAGTTACAAATGTAACAGAACAGCATTTTTCGTTTCTTCCTTCCAAAGCATTTTTGGCAATGTTGTGTTTCTTTCTTTTTTGGAAATTGTATATTAGATTATAATTACGATATAATTTTATTGAAAATTTTTCAGGATAGTTTGGTTTTTAAAATATGTAATGTTTATTTTAGCTGTTTAGTATCTTTTTGTGATCTGTTAATATGTTCCATCCTATTTTGAATCAATTGATGTAATTGTTATTAGTTGGAACTAATAAAGATTTATCTATTCTACATCTTTGATATTTATTCACTCTTCATTTTAAGAACTGAAAGAGCAAAATAAAAACAAGTCTAATTTTTTTATATATTATACCATTACCATTTTCCGAAATGCATTGAAATGCATGCAGTGAGACATTTTGAAAAGCTTCTGAAATGAACACATGATAATTTAAATAGATTTTAGTTAATGTTTGTTTATAATATGCTATTTTAGCCATAACTAGGTAACCCTAGTAGACTAAATAAATTTAAAACAGCATTAAATTACTTACCGCTTGTAAATTCTTTTCAGAAGTTGGTGGTGTGGAACTTTCCGAACAATAAATAAATTTAATACTTTCGTATATTGGTACACTTGCTATGGCGCAACCATGTACTTCATTACCATAACATTCTTTTGGTCCATGTTGGCAGATAAAAACTTTCGAGTTATTTGCATCGATTTCCTACAGAAAATGTCGTCCAAAACACAAATATAAAAAAATTAAACAACATTATTACCTTAGCAAAGCCATACGGAATTAATTCTAGTTCAACGAAATCTGGTCCAAATGCTTCATAATTAGGATAAACCTGATTGTTTATAAACTCTATACTATCTGGACACAAAGTCTCATAATACACTGATAATTTCACTTTATCTGTGGCCTAAAATATAATTACTTGCAATTTATTCCATAAATATAAATAGATATCATTAAAAGTATGAAAGCCAAATCTGTTTTTAAACGATAAGCATTTGTTAATCAACTCTAAATATTCAAAATGTGACAATTATATCTTAGTAAATTATTATACCTTACCTTTACAATAAAGAATAAAAACAGAAATACAAATACGCTTCTTTTAAACGACATTTTAGTACTGCTATAATGCCTTTAAATAAGTAACTACAAATAACACACGCTAATCTATGTTCGTTAGTTCACATTATTAGTAATCTGTTGATAGCAGCTCTCGAAGACATTTAAACAGAGATGATAAACTAAAATTTACAAATACAATCACCGGTTAATAATTTTATGTAAAAAAACTAAGAGTGAGATTTACAAAACTGTTATAAATGTATATTTTTATATTTATGTAGCAATTTCAATCAATTCAGATTACTTGATAAAGTAAAATTAACTATAACCAATAAATAATTTTATGTAAAAAAATTATTAACAAAAATTTTATATACAGGGTGAGTTTTCTACAATGTTCTCTAAGGTATCTCGGAAACTACTGAAGATAGAGAGTCGGTTAAATGGGTAAAAAATTTCAGTTTTGTGGGGTCATAAATATGCGCCCTGCAGATTTTTGAAATATGGATAGATTAAAATTTTTGAAGTATGGATATGACAATTTGACATCACTGAAAGCCACGACAATTGAACTTGTTTCCATGGCTAACTAAAGTTATTTTTCGAAGAAAACATATTATAGCTTATATCGCTGAAAAGTTTAAAATATGCGCTTTTTATGAAGCCATGGCCAACTATGGTTTCCATTAAAAAAAACATATGTTTGTGTGATATGTCAAAAATGACAGGCTTTGGAAAAAAACAGAGGACACGATCTCATTAAGGATGTGATTATCTACAACTTTTATCTGAAAACTTTTTGTCTAAAATAGCTTATAATAGTTTTCATTTAAAAAAACATATGTTTGTGTCATATGTCAAAGACGACAGGCTTTAGAAAAAAAAAACGAAGAACACAATCTCATTAATGATGTGATTATCTACAATTTTTAGCTGAAATGTTTTTGTTTAAAATAGATTATAATGGAATTAGAGAGCATTGTTAAAATATCCAAAACTCTTCACCCTCACAAAACTGCAATTTTTTCCCCATTCCACCGTCTTTCTAGCTCAAGTAGTTTCCGAAATACCCACAGAGAACATCGTAGAAAACTCACCCTGTATATTTTGGTGTGACAATTCAATACATACATATCTACCGGGTGCATCTCAAAAGTGGCTCATCCCCTATAACTTTTTTATTTTTTCAGATAAAAAAACGGGATTTGGTGTGTTAGTATAGGTATAACATAAATTAGGATAGATTGAGGTATTTAATTGTTTTCGTTCACTTCCTGTTTCACCGGAAATTACTACAACTTTTGAGTTTCCAATGGCATCCTTGGTATTTTTTTTTACTTTATTTGGTAGAAAATGACATTCTGAATAGAATGACATATCATATGTCAACTTTTCTCAAAAACTCGTATTTTAAATATCAATCTAGAGTGCCATGGCTATGTTATAAACACTGATTTGCAATCAAGGAGCCTTGGAAAAATAGATTTGATCGTCTAATGTTTTTAGTGTCTTGTCCTGGCCGGTTAAAAGATGCCCAAATCGTATTTTTAATCAAAGCTCAATTTTTTCAAATAGAACAAGGGTGGCTCATTAGCATATTTAGAAAAAGCGTTTTTCTACAAATAATTTGAGACCACACACTTGGTATTTCGAGTCAAATTGTCGTTATAAGCCGCATGTTACAACTTCAAATAAAACATATGCGAAAATGTCAAAAGTTGACATATGATATGTCATTCTATTCAGAGTGTCATTTTCTATCGAGCAAAGTAAAAAAATACCGAGGGTGTCTATTTAAAAATCAAAAGTTGTAGTCATTTCCGGTAAAACAGGAAGTGACCGAAAACAATTGAATACGTCAATCAATCCCAAGGTTATTAAAAGATAAGGTTGTCTCGTAACTCGATCCGCCATTATCGAAAACGTCATCTACTACGTCATAGAAATGATACATAGATAAAGGGATAAAAACTGCCCACAGTCCGACAGTGCATTTCCGAATCGATATTCATTGTGTACTTTATTGTTTATAGTGTATGGCGTCAATAGTTTTCAGTTGTTTGATTTGTGTTTACTTTATTGTATTGTCCATTTATCTCTTTTTGTCAGTTGTATTTTATTTTTTATTCCTTTTATCTATGATTTTATACGTTCTGTCTACGTCAGAAGAATACTATTCCGCTTCGCTCCTATTGGTTCAAAAGTTACGAGACAACCTTATCTTTTAATAACCTTGAACCAATCCTAATTTATGTCATATACTAACATACCAAATGTCGTTTTTTTAACTGAAAAACTAAAAAAGTTATAGTGGTAAGCCATTTTTCAGACGCGCCCGGTTGATTATTAAATGACGTTTTATTTGAGAGTAGATTTCAATAGAAATACCCTCGGAAATACCTAATTTTAGTCATATTTGTTATTAGTAATTGTGGTCATATGTTGTTATTTTAAAAAATGATTAAAACTAGAAACATAAAAACAGAATAACACCTTGTTCGGGAAGATTTAATTAATTAATTTAAATTTAATTATTTAATTTATTAGTATTTTGGTTTATTGGAGGGAATTACTGTTTTATTTTGCTAATTATTTTTTATTTAAGATGAAAATAATAATATTTTGTTGCACGATTTTATAAAAATATACGCAATACCATTTTCACTATATTTTCCTATGATTTTCCAGAATATTTCTTCCAAATGTTATTCTAATATTAAAAACACATCTCACGCTTGATATTTTTAAATTCCGCGTCTTCCCTACCTAGCTCCGATATGCAAAAAAACGACGTGATGAAAATATGTCATCTACGTTCATTGAAAATCAGATTTTATTCTTAAGCTATTAAAATTAGGGGGGAGCTCTGATCGGATTTCAATGATAAATGACATTACGGCTTAAGAAAGCGAGTGTAAATTGATTCGCGGGTGATTTTTTAAAAACAAAATATAATAATTTTTTCTAAAGTTTGGTCTTCTTTTACGCATTTTTCTCATTTTACATTACAGAAAATGTTACCTTAAATCATGCAAAAATTTAAATTGTAGATTGTGTGGTGGGTGGGGAGGGGAATTAATCACTGCGACCTTATAGATCTTGAGTTATAACTCATCATACAGTCTCAGGGCTTTGACAAAAGCCAGAATCTGAGACGGTTTTACAAAGGTTAGTTCTCCATCTCCGATATCAGTTTTACCAAAGTTTATGTCACGAATGGTTGTGTAATGAGGTGTTCTGGTGTTTCCCCATTTTGTCCACAAATTCGACATTCACCGATTCTTAGTACCCCAGTGCAGTTATGACATTCACCATGATGAAATTGCAAAAATTTTTAGAAAGCTGCGACCATTGAAAATAGTTAGCCTTAGTAACCTTCATTAACATACTAAAAGTCCCCATTTGTCCGATGTGTGCGTCATCAAAAAAAATCGGCCGCCATCTTGAATTTTGGTACTTTTTGGGAAAAAATGTAAATAACTCGAAAACGGTTTGTTATAGCGAAAAACTTCAAGAGGTAAAAATTTAAGCGAATAAAAGACTCTATTAGAATCAATAAAAAATTGTTTATTATCCTAACGCAATGACGTACAAAAAATTTTGAAAATCGAGCAATTTTTAAAAGAAATCACCGAAATGCAAATTACTAATTTTTTAAGCTTATTAGCAAATAACATGGATATTTAGCATCAATTCAACTGAAATACAATCCTTGTGACATTTTCAAGAAATATTTATTAGTGGTTTAATAATATTTCAAAATTAAAAAAAATTGTCAAAACTATCCTTTACTAAATACATGTGTACTAATAATGTGCGAAAGCAGCCTCCACCTTGTTCCGGTCGGGGCTATTTGCACTTAAACCAAGGTCTTTTTGTTACCATTTTGTAAACAACTTGTTTTTAAAAATACAGTGACAGTTTGAAAAATTAGGCTACAGGTTGGAAGAAAAAAATAAAATGTAATGTAAACTGGCGACTTTCAAAACGTTGCAAAAAGATCCTCATCTGCGACAAATTACATCCGTTTTTTTAGATCCTGCAGCACAAAAATCTGAGCTAGTCGAAGCTGGAAATACATTCTTATTTTCATTATATGGTCGACATAGGCTAGCAAAAGATTTAGATCAGTTGAGGTATTTTAAATATAAAGCTCTTACATCTCGTCAGGTACTTATAGTAAAAATTTTGATTTAGCTACCTTACCTCCAACAACTAACGCAGCTGAAAATCATTATTATAGGACCTATTTATAAATGCAGTATTGACTAAATAACGGAGAAGAGGGAACAGAACGTGGATGGAGTAAAAAAACGGATACCTTAGTTCCAACAACAATGTCAAACGCAGTAGCACCAGAATTTGTATTGAAAATGATTTACTGTAATTGCAAATCTGGATGTAATAAACTATGTACCATTGCGATAAAAAAACAGTACAAGAATTAGTAGTCCCAGATGGAACTCCTGGTCTATAAGGATATTTGAATTATATTGAATTTTGGGTTTAGCCAACAACACTGTTTTTTTGTTTATCCCTAATGCATCTGCAATGTCCCTTATGGGAACCCCATCCCTTACTCGCGTATATATAATCGATTTTTGCTCTGAGGTTAAAGGCATTTTTTTAAAAATTACGTGACACTGACACAAGAATATAGACCAGCAGATTAAATCATATTTTGTTGTACTATTTTTTTTTAATCGCAATGATACATGTTTAAAATCCAATATGGCCATGTTCATTCTTGTGTGGTAACTGTAATGGTATTTCTTGCGAGAATCAAAACGAACGAATCGAAAGAAAACAAATCGAATAAAATTGTAAATTTCATTTTTTTCTTCTAGAGATCAAGTTGGTAAAACATTTTTATTAAAATGGTGATAATTTGAATTATTGTTATTCGATTTGTAGGGGTATGTTTATAATGTATTTATCATAATGAAAAAGTGTTAAGATTTTAGGTTAAGATCGTAGATGATATTTATGTCAAATAGACATTCGCAAGTAGTTTATTACATTTTATTTTTTTCTTCCAACCTGTAGCCTAATTTTTCAAACTGTCACTGTATTTTTAAAAACAAGTTGTTTACAAAATGGTAACAAAATGACCTTGGTTTAAGTGCAAATAGCCCTGGCCGGAACAAGGTGGAGGCTGCTTTCGCACATTATTAGTACACATGTATTTATTAAAGGATAGTTTTGACAATTTTTTTTAATTTTGAAATATTATTAAACCACTAATAAATATTTCTTGAAAATGT